GTGTGTGTGTGTGTGTGTGTGTGTGTGTGTGTGTGTGTGTGTGTGTGAGTGTGAGAGAGAGCGTGTGCGTGTGTGTGAGCGTGTGCGTGTGCGTGAGCGTGTGCGTGTGCATGTGAGAAAAATAATGTGTCTGTGTGTATACAATTGTACAAATTATTATAAACTAAGATACGAACCCACTTTAATAAAATGTTATTTTTATTTCAATATATATAGCTTTGAATTTAAATTTAAACCATTACTACTGTGATGAGTATTAATCTAGATACATAATATAAATAATAATCGATATATTCAAAATAAGTAAGTAAATATTGGACTATTCACTGCCATTACTCAAGCGATCTAATGATTCCTTTTTTAAATATTGCCTTAGATTGACAAAAAACATCGTGTTCACTAAAACGTGAATTATACAGTTTAGCAAGACGAGTCAGCGGACTGTTCATAGCGTAGTTTGTCGAGCACGGAGGTATATGAAATAAGGGCGTGTGACGTGTGCGACGCACCGGCGTGCGGTAGGTGATACCAGCCACAAGCTCCGCACAATCAATATGACCATTCACAATGTCATGCAACAAACCCATATCTAGCAATTTACGCCTATCTACAAGGCTGAGAATGTTATGATTTCGGCACGCTTCTTGATACGAATCAGACGACTTACGAGAACGGTAATTGAGATGCTTAACAAAAATTTTTTGCACTTTTTCTAAACGATTAGTATAAACCGCATATTGCGGTGACCAGATCGAACTCGCGTATTCCAAAACACTGCGAACATATGCAAAATAAACGGACTTTAAAGTAAAGATATTTTTAAATGGTTTGCACGAGCGTAGAACAAAACCTAGATTTTTAAAAGCTTTAGTAGCTATGGAGTCGATATGATTAGATAGTACCATTTTATGGTCTAGAAGTACGCCTAAGTCACGAACTTCCGAAGAGTCGTTGATTGGCACACCGTTAAAGTTATACGAGAATATAATAGGCTTAAGCTTCCGGGTGAAACGTACGCATTGACACTTTTTAATATTAATGTTTATTTTATTAATTTTGTAATAATAGTATAAGTTGTCTAAGTCTTTTTGGATTTTTACACAGTCACTGTAAGCTTTTACTACACAAAAAATTTTTTTGTCGTCAGCGTATAATAAATGTTTAGAATAATTAATGTAATTAACAATGTCATATATATACGCGTTGTAGAATAGTGGCCCCAGGTGAGAACCTTGAGGCACCCCACTAGGTATTGTCACGAAGTCCGATCTGTAACCGCCTAAAACGACCGCTTGTGAGCGATTGCTTAAATATGATTCCGTCCATCTAAGCAAATCCCCCTTTATTCCAAGAGTGTGGAGCTTATTAAGGAGGATGATGTGATCTACGCGATCGAAAGCCTTTTCAAAATCAGTGTAGATCACATCAACCTGTCCGCCATGATCCATATTCTTTAGAACATAATCAGTAAAGCACGTCATATTAGTAACTGTGGAGCGTTTCTTTATAAAACCATGCTGACTATCAGGAATGCCAACGATAATTATAGGATAAATAGCATCGTATACCAGTTTCTCAAATAATTTTCCAATAGTACAAAGGATCGTAATGCCACGGTAATTTTCAACCTTAATTCTACTTCCATTTTTATGAAGCGGCATAATATGACCTCTTTTCCAAACCGATGGAAACACACCACATCGGAGGGAACTATTGAATATAATACAAATTGGGTGTGTTAGTACTTTAACACAATTCATCCAAAAAATCGGAGGGATTCCATCGTATCCGGGGCCTTTTGAAACGTCTAATTTCTTAATCGCCGTCTCAATGACAGTCGGTTGGATAACTAAATTAGATATTGTGTCACCCCCAATATCTTTCAGCTGCGAAGAAGCATTATAGGATGAAGGTTCAACAAATACACTGTGGAAAAAATTATTAAATGCATTACATATATCATTACCATCCCTATAACATATCTGCCCGTGTGTAACTGTCTGCGGGTAATTAGAGCCTCCGCGCATAGACTTAACGTGTCTCCAGAAAGCTTTAGGTGTAGATTTTATAGCTGCTTCGGTGTTATGTATGTATGTATTATAGCACGCTTCATGTACTTTACGTTGTCTATTGCGTAGGAGAGAAAACTCGTCATAATCTAGTGGACTGTTATATTTCTTCCATCTAGCGTGAGCTTTCATTTTCTCATTATTTAAACGAATCAATTGCTTACTATACCACATTGGATAAGTACATTTATTAGGACTAATGCAAGACGAAGGTACATACCTATCTATGCAATCTTTAAGAATATCATACAATTTATTTGTGGCTGATTCCGGATCATTGTGTGGTAGTATATAATCCCAATTAAACTGACTCAAAAAGCTGTTAATCGCCGTATAGTTTGCCTTTTTAAAATTACGTTTAGTTATAGGTTTTTCAGATAAAGGCGGTATCTCAATATCTAGAAGTTCTAGCAGTAACGGAGGATGAGCTCGATCGATTGCTACTAGAGGATCAGGGCAAGCGTTTACCTTCACAGGCAACGTTGAAAACACCAAGTCAAGAGTATTACCGTAATAATTCTTAAACATGTTGTACTGTGTAAGACCGAGTAAACTCAAGCTTTCAACAAAATTTATAGCAGCGTTTTGTACCTCAATACAGCCTTTTTTTATATATATAGGTAGGTTATTGTTCCATGTGATGCATGGTAAATTAAAATCACCGACCAACAAATATTGGTCGTTATTAGCAACAAGCATATCCGACGTAAAAGCGTCCGAGACAGCTTTTATACTCACAGGTAATCGGCTCGGGTCAGGTGGAATATATACTGCACTAATATGCAAAAATTGTTGTCTCGCGTTGTCCATACCTATTGGCAGAATTATATACACCATCTCTGTAAGCGCATGCATATTCAAGTGGCCCCGTGTGGCACACAAATCCCGCCGCGTCATGATAAGTACGCCCCCACCAGTCTTTTTACCAGATGAGTGGAAATCGCGATCACTACGAAACACTTGATACCTGTTATCACATAATTCAGCATCAAAAATACCATCGCATAACCACGTCTCGGTAATTATAATTATGTCAAATTCATTTTGAAGCACCATTTGTCTCAATTCGTTACACTTCGTCCTAAGCCCGCGGGCATTTTGATAATAGATATTTAATGTTTGTATAGCCATTTAAAAGCGATTATATAACTAAATTGCAAAAAACAAAAAGAAAAATTCATATATGTACCTAGATGTATAAAATTGTAACAGAATTAAATGCACACACGTAAATATTTTTCCAATAACATTGGATTTAATTACATGTGAAAGTATAAAATAAAAAGATAAGTCATTGTAGGACAAAAGAAGCATCAAAACGCCATACGTAAAATAATTATTTTTTGTTGAGGGTAAGATGTAAACGTTCATGCTTGAGTGCTCGAGTACAAGATAAAAATGCGACAAACTATATGTTGCTAAAGCGTAAGATAACAATAGTGTGTATAGAATCGTGGTGGCACTGCACTGTATGTATGAGATAATAAATTGCAACGCATTTAAGGATAAGTTAGTAATGAAATTGCAATAAGTAGGTAATAATTTGGCATAGTACTTTAGAAAATAAATACATATTAAGTAATGGTGAGTAAATCGACAAATAAGAACAAGTAGATTTGATATTTCAAGTATTACAATGAATTTCAATATACAAATTAATTTAAGCAAGACGATTGTGTAATGTGTGCGTGTAGGTGTGTTTAATGTTACATTCAACTTAAATAAGCAATTAATATAAAGGGAAGTACGATACATTTCGAGACGCATTGTCTTTAAGCGCAAGCAAATAAAAAACAAGTCATTCTGGCAATCACTGGATGCCATAGAACTATGAAGGCATACAGAATGGTCAACAATTAGTTGTGAGTTAAATCTATATAATAGAATATCGAAAGAACACAAATGAATTATGATGCTTATTCCAAGTACTATTGATATAGCCAACAAACAAAGAAGCCACATGCTTACCTTATTAATGAGCCAAAAAATAATGTCAAATAATATGAACATCAGTTGACATATTACTAAAACAAATATCAAAAAAAGTATCTCTGTTATCAAACAATCCTGGATAAATTTTCCGCCTTCATAATCGGTATCGCCGGAGAGACATCGTTTTTTCTTATAAAAATCCTTCCGTTTTTTACCCAAACATACTGGTACATCTTCAGTTTGGCAGCCTCTTTGCACTTCTTTAGTAATTGCTTATTTACAAATGTCAACTGCTCATTTACATAAACGGATCGCACCTCTCCTTCAAATTGTAGCTTATCTGTTTTTAATGGGATTTTCCTTGCTCGGGATAAAATATTATCACGAATGAGACGAGTTTTAAATTTAACAACAATTACTCGTGGACGTCCTTGTGTCTTTATTCTGGGCGTTACTCTATGCACATGTACTATATCATCACGTGATAAATCTGCACCTACATAATTTGACAATTTAACGATAATGTTCTCTAAATTCTCATCTTTCGCTTCCGGTATCCCAATAATCTCCAAGTTCATCAGTCTTTCCCGCTGTTCCGCGGAATTAACGTCAGCTCTTAGCGCCTCATTATCACGCTTTACTTCATTCAACTGTGTTTCCAGGGATTCAATTTTCTTTGTATATCTAGTAACACAATCGATTTTTTTCATAGCATCATCTTGTTTATCCGCTATAAATTGCATGGACGTCTGTAGCGCAGTAACTTCTACTTCCAAAGCCTTTTGCTTATCTCCCATGCTATCCACCGTCTCCTTAAATTTATTGAAATCGTGAAGAATAGTTTTAATTTCTGATTTCATTTCAATCGTAGATTCAGTAAGTTTAGTAAGATCTTGTTTTATAACATTGTTAACATTATTATTTATCTCAGAGAAGTTATGTTCTAAGTCGATTTTCCATTCTTTCAATGTAGACATTATATTCTTTGTAAACTCGTTAAATGACTGATGAAAATCGTCATCATGTCTACGCTTACGCACGGAGATGTTTCCGGAAGTTGTTGATAAATCCGGGCTGGAGCCGAATCGACTTATAGGTGAGCGTAACATTTTTACAAAAGATGTCAATTCTACGCCAACAATACTCTATGCACGTCCAAAGTAGGTAGGTAGAAGGGATAAGCGCTCGAGAAGCACAGTAGCGAAGACAATCACTCGCCGTAAGAAATGACAGAGATGGTAAATCAAGTAACTCACAGCCCGTCTCGTTTACCCGAGGTGTGGAGGTGCTTACCTCGACTTACGCGGCGGTAGGATTTTTGTCGACCGATGATTTTAGATGGAAATATTTGTTAATTAATTCACACCACTATGACCGCTAATAGTATAAGCACTTAGGAAGATACTTCTATGTGAGTCGCATTAAAAATTAGGAGCGACTGCAACACACGTCCGCTCGCCAATCTTACGCAGAACAAGTCACAACAAACAATTTATACAAAAATATTTGTAGCGATTCGCTACACCCTTGCTTGAAACTTTTGTTGATCCTACACGTATAGACACAGGCATGTGAAAATATACAAACGCGTTTTTCGTTACTACAAATTATATTGACATTGCGATAGGACATGCATATATTAATCTCGTCTCTACTCTATTATAATGTCAGGTAAGTACATTATGCATAATCAACAGCACACACACCACAAATACAACTATACAATAAATATTCAACAATACAATCAACAACACTATACGTATAGTGTAAACTCTACATCGTGCTATATATACCTAACATTAGTATAGACGGACCGCCGGCCGCCGTGTGCATATATACATACATAACTATGTTTGTCTTCTGCTGGGATAGGTAGATACTACTGATCTCCACTACATCAAGTGATATAGGGTGCTGTTGGCTGTGCCTGCCTTCCAAATTTATTGTTTCACATAATGTACGATTAATAAATTAGTAACCATTCGACGCGAGGCAAGTGCAATATTTACGGAGAGTTTTTTATGGCAAACACTAACTCAAAGCCAAAATTTTTATTACATCGGTAAACAAATTACCCTTCACATTAATTACACTCTACTACTCATTCATGAGCCAGATTCCTCTGTAAAAAACGAGTAAAAAGCTCTAAGGGCTGCTCTTTCTAATAAAACATTTTTTATTTACAATATTTATTTCAAATATGATAGATCGAGACAACCTGCAAGAGCTACACGGGCCACTACCATGTATTTTTGACGTCCAAGTATGCAGAAGCTGTATAATTAACCTTTAGCTTTTTACCTAATTTGTAGATTACTGTAAATAACAAATTTTCATAGTATCTAGAATATAATAATTAATTTTCATATCACAATTTTAAATAATATGATCGTTGCTCTGACAAAAACTCTGACAAAAACTCAAAATGCAATAGTGTCCAAGAATTAAAAATAAAAATACTACTAATAGCACTGTAGTTATTAAGTAGGTAACAGAGTTGCTTGTAAAAGAGTTCTGCCAGGGAAGTACTACCACCTTACCGATTTCTGTCGCCAAGCAGTAAAGTGAGCATTACTGCGTTCCGGTTTCGAAGGGATAGGGAGATGCCACACGGGCGGGCGTTGCGTCGTCCCAACTGCGTTGATTTCAACGGACTGAGTGCCACACGAGCTGTTCCGTCGACACACGTTTCAACGTACCGTGTGGCATGTTGTTCTGATTTATATGTAGTGCAACGCATTGGCGACGACGCAACGCCCGTGTGGCATCTCAAGCCCAAGGGTGTTGGTGAAATGACAGGCACATGGGACTTGTCAACTTACATCTCAGGGTGTCGGGCGCAGTGGCAGTGCCCCTCAAATCTTTGTGATTTAAAGTTCTGTGTAAGTACTGCAACTGTTAGGGACAGGCGTGTCGCTTACCATCAGGCACACAACTTGTACGTCCCGTCACTTAGTGTTATAAAAACAAATCCGTGGAATCACTGCCACGAAAGCTCGTGATTAAGGACCACGGATTGGCCTGAAATATGCCGAACAAAAATTCGACTTGAATACGTGCGTTATCCGTTAATTTAGATCATATGTCTCACGCAGTGGCGGATTTGCCCTAAGGCCCAGTAGGCCCAGGCCTAGGGCGAAAAGATTTTATGGGCATCCAATCGTGCCAAAAAATTCACAGATGATAACTAGAAATAACTCAAAGTATCTAAATATTCTAAATTCTCACGCACACTATGGCGGGCCGCACTGCACCGCATCGTATAATAATAGTCTTCCTAAAACGCTTTGGTACATTTCATGTATAAAATATAGATACGTTACATAATAATGTAATGCATAATCGCTACATCACTACATATTATCACTACCGCGTCTGTCTGTCCGTCTGATCGCGATAAACTCAAAAACTACTGAACGGATTTTCATGCGGTTTCCAACAATAGATAGAGTGATTCATGAGGAAGGTTTAAGTGTATAATTTATTTAGGATTTTTGTAAGTTGGCTGAAATCTGACGATAAATGTTGAAGATGTCGAAAAAAATCATGCCGGCTGGGCAGTGCATTTCCGAATCGATTTCGATAAAAGTTGGAAATAAAGTAAATTCATTATATAGTGTACCAGTATATGATGAGTGCTGAGAAAGGGGCGGCTGGTACTGACTGCATGGATGGGGCTTAGGGCGGCCAAGACTGCAAATTCGCCACTAGTCTCACGGTAGTTGTCTGTTTAAAATCTACACTAGAATTCTTCAACAATTTCAATAATTAATCATTTCAATCGTGTGTAAAACGTTTCGTCACTTGTAAAACTTTTCAGCCTTATGGCTAGATATTCGCAACACCGGTGACTGATGACTAACTTGGCCTATCAGGCAGTCCGGCTGATGAGAAATCGTTGCAGATGCCTTGAATATTTGTTGTACTACCGCCGCCGCTCTCTACCTACATTCCAAAACACAGCAGTATTTATTTGTAATCTGGTGGTAGTCGGGCGGGCTTTGCGCGTACAACTCTACCACCATTTTCTCGTTCTGGATCTGTGTGCAAAGCAAACTGAACTAATTCTAACGACATTTGAGAATGTTAACATGTTGCTACATGGATTATTTTGTAAACTAAGTTCGATAAAAAATTTAAATCACAAGATTATAGAGACATAGATTTGGTAGTAATTATAATACATAATTGCATCGATTGTACACTAAAAATAGATTATAAACTCAATTTGAGAATAGTGTATTTAGTGACATGTAGTAATAAGGAATTTTTTAAAGATGAATATCTATTTTAATTTTTTAGTTTTTATATCAAGTGACGATACGAACACGCCGTCGCTGTGCGCCTGGTAGTAAGCGATAGGTACTCGTAAAATTTGCAGATCTGATGGACACCCTGAGACATAAAGTTGACAAGGCCTATGTGCATGTAGTTTCACCTGCACTCATAACCCTTCACTATCGGAACGCAGTAATTATGGTCGCGTTATTGCTTGGCGGCAGAACGGCGTGGTCCTTCCTTGGACGAACTCTTTGAACACAGCGAGGTCAAAAGCTACGAATTAGTTTTTGTTGTAAGTTCAATCCCATTAAATTTTATTTCTTTTCGTATTTAATTATTTAGTTCTATTTAATGTAAAACCACAAATATTTTCATAAAGTGCTGCGTTGATGTCTTTTGAAAGGCAAAAGGGCGCGGCAGCGTGCCCGTGTTAACTGTGGACACGATATAAAAATAAATTTGTAAATATTTGTATAAAACGATAAGTATAGTTGTATCTTAGCATATCGAGTAGTAGGATAGTATTCGCAAAGGTCATAGCAAATATACAAGTAATCTCGAAGAATATAATATATGATGTGTATAATGATAAGGAAAGACGCTTCTGTTCATTTGTCCGCGGAGGATATGAAATTTATGACCCGTTGGGCCCTCTGCCAAATCGAATTCTGCACCAGATATAATTCGGTAAATTATTATGAATGTCTTCAACATGCCTGAATTTAAAACATATTCTAGAGACGAAATATAGTGGGCCGATTTACTTGCGGTGTGCGTACCGCTTTTTATTAAACATTTATTTGACAGTTTCCTCGTTAATGCCGTGATATTCTCATTTTTTTAAACAAATGTTCTTATTACTTTTAATGTTTTCATCAGAGTCATGTGGTTTATTATTTTATAGGTTTTAGGTTTGCCCTATATTTTGATGTTTTGTAATTAATTTGTAATGTTTCTACTTTTATAAAAATGGCTAACTAACCAATATTAAATTAAATAACAGAATAAAATTGTGATGAGTGTGGCGACAACGGGGCACAATGAGATGCATTCGAGTGCAATGGTGGTGGACCGAGCGGCGGAGGCGGGCGGCGCGTCGCCGCCACGGCGCGGAGAGGCGGGGCGGGCGGCGGCTGCATTTTCCCCGCCCCGCCTCGCCATGGGTCGCGCGCGTTTTCCGCGAGGGGCACGCCGGCCCCCTCACCGCCGAGCCGGGAAATCGCGCGCCACTCGTCTCAGTCCGGCTCGGCCGTCGCAGCACTACGACGCCTGTCACGCGGTACAGTCACGCGCACCTCTCGCGAACTCTCGAATCGAACGCTAGCTGCACTCGCGCGTACCGAGCACGCGGCGAAAATAGTGAGCTCGTGGCCGGGAACGGCTCGTGGCCGGTGCACACCTGTGACGAGCGGCGCGATGGTGCCCGCGCTGCTGGTGCTGGCGCTGGCGGCGCTGGCGCCCGCGGCCGCGCGCCGGCACGCGCCTGACCTGCGCGAGGACGAGCCCGCGCGTCGCGCCACCCGCCCCGCCGGTGAGTGCTAACCTCCTAAGCACCACTGTCGTTGCTGCCAAAGCGCGCCCTACGTCCGCCCCGACTCCCCTTGCAATTAAATGCACACCAATCTGGCGCGGTGCATCCGCATCTATTTCTTTCGAATGCCGCTCCAATTTGGAACGGTCGCGATAGACGCACAACGTAAACGTAAAGTGGAGAGCGGGCAAACACGTGTGTCTATGTAAATAATCACATTCCGAGATTCCGCATTGATCTAGTATAGGGACACGGTCGATTATTAATTACATTATAATGTATGCACGTAGCAAGCAGGGAGCGTGCGAGAACGGTGCGCGAGCGATCGAGCTAGTTAGATAGACGATAGTTTTATCAGACTACTTACACCTATCCCCCGTTATCAGTAAGGCGATACCGGCACTGTTCGGGTCGAGGCAATAAAAACAAAAGCACGTGAGATGACGAGCTGTCGTGTCAATATCAAAAGTCAACACAAACAGTGTTGACAGATCTATTTTCAGGGAATGATATAATAATCTGTGTTATCGGGTAAAGACTCCTCCCGTAGGTAATCCATAAATTTTACACGAGATGCATTTGCGCGGAAAATCCCCAACTATGTGATTGCATTAAATACCTACAAACTATCTATATACGTTGCGAAATGTTACACCTATGTGGTGCTATTCAGCGCTTGATTGCCTGTACTTATAAAAATAGGATTATTATTTGTAGAGCAAGTTAAAGTTGTTTATATCATTAGCTCTAGCAACTGGAAATATCGATTTAAAAAATCCGATCTTGCAAATTGTATTTGAAATCGTTTAGTGAAGTAGCTAACTAAATATGAGTAGAAAATAAGTAGCTAAGATTGTAATTACGATGACTTATTATAATAGATAGGTAAAATTAATTTCTTATTAGCCAAACGATTATTATTAGTTGTAACGGAAAAACTATATTATAATATTTTCGTTTCCCAACAGTTGACAAAGTCTAACAAAAATTAAACACAACATATCAATGTCGAACGATATCACAATCTTATCTCAACGTAATATTTATGAGTGATTATTTGCCATTTCGTTTACACTAGATTTTTTGTTTAGATAGATCCAATGTACTTATTTAATCTAAGTTTAGGTATTTTCAAGTTTTATTATTATCTCACGAGTTATATGATATTATGTTCGTAATTAAATTATTATATATGTTGTACCAAACAACATTAAATGCCACAGTTTGGTATAATTCAAATTGTCAACTTTCCAAATGTAAACTGTGTGTACGAATGGAAAGTGTCATGTGAAACAATATTTTGTGTACTTTGATATGAGTCGTGCATAAGCGAATATAATAAAAGGAAAATATAAAAATATATTGCTTGGTTAAAATTCATTCAGGTTTTACTAAGGGAAAAACAATGCAAAAATGTGAAGTCTATATTTTTCTTTCTTGTAATTTATTCCAAACAACTATCAAGTATAATTTACGGGTTATAAAAATTATAACATCCAATAATATTCACGAACGCAGCCTTGAATCCAAGCCAGGATGTTTTTGTTCGTATTTTTCTAATGGACGTCAAGGACTGAGCCCAGACTAAGTGACTCACTTTCGCGACAACTTTCATTCATTTTCCGGATCGGATAAAAGTCACTAATGTTTGCCAAGATATCAACGAGTGTGCCAAAATTTGTATTACTGAGAAGAGAAAAAGTTGTCTTCGTCAAAGTGTCTAGACGGGTGGTCGAGACGAGATGTGACAACCGATCTAACATGGGCACATTATGTGTTTTTTTTGGGGGAAACAGTTTCGTGCAGACAATGGTGTTAATGAATGCGAACGCAAACCATACTGATTTTAAATTACAGTTAAACGAAAAGATAGAAGATTTCATGTTAGATTAGATCTATGAAAATAATCGATGCTTTTTATGATCATTATAATTTTTATGACATGTTTTGTGTCATTCTTATATATTTGATATTACACATTGACTTACAATTATATGGACGTCGGGTCCGCGCTAAAAAGTGTCCGCACTTGTAAGGCGCTAAAATCGTATACAGAGCGCGACACTCCGCTTTAGTCTTCATTTGTTCTACGGACAGCGCGATACTGCGATAACATAACAATTTAAATTTCGAATAGGTTGACTTGGGACATTTTTTTGTGGTTTTTGTATTAGACCCGTCGTCCATTTATTTGTAAGTCAATGTTTAAACAACAGTAAATTTTTCACAGGAAAAGCATATTCAACTTATTTTAAATTTAGAACTTGAAATAACATGATTTCGCGTTCGAGCAAATAGACACCATTGTCAATCAATGACAATAATGTCAACAATAGATTAAATTTGCCGTGAAACTTTGCCATTCATATGTTTATGTGTAATTTTTGATATTGGCATCACAGAATTGATAGTCTACAGAGTATCATGCAATTTTGGATTAGCATAGTTGATTTACGTTAATTTACTTTTAGAAGGAGCAAACATCTTCATCATCCTATTTAAGGGTAGCCTCCTCCACTCCTTACGTTTCATAGCCAGCTTCTCGACCTTCTTACAGTTGCTCACTTTGACCTTCATCTTTATTTGTTCATTATACGCCATTCTTGATCTTCCTCATCTATCTTCACCTCAATTACAAATATCTTACATCGTAATAATATATTCATAAGTTGTATTCTTTGTTGGTGAAGGTCGAATCCCTGAAAGTTTTTCGTGGCTCTATATAGGAGCTTTTTTCTGAGGGAGGTAGGAAACAAGAAGACCAATGAGGACTGTTACTTGGTTGCACCAACGACAAGGTGTTGTGCCGTGACGTCTTTTTCATTTTCTTTGTCCATCACATCTAATCTGTCCAGGTTGACGAGTCACTGAAATGCAATATGACTAAAGTAACTGGGATTAAAAAAATTGTAAAAAGCAGGTACAGTATCAAAAACACTCCCTACTTAAATGCTATAAAAGAAGTGAGACAATAAAACTTACCCGGAAAGGTACGTATTTTTATAAATATTACTGAATTTTAATAATATTAAATAGGTACATGATTTAAAATGGAAACTGGTAAAAACAGATTAAAATTTGTGGTGAAGACGAGCAGGAGGGCTCGCTTCAGACATTACGTAGAGAGTGACGACGGAACAAAACAAAGTGCGATTGACGAGGCAAAGGAATTCAAGTACGATTCAAAATCCGAAAATAAGTAGCCAGGAACCAGAGAAAAAGTGACAAAAAGTTGGGATGACGATGGAGGAGGTCGCATCGTACCTTTTAAAATCATAAGTTATGCTCACATTTCAGCTTGGTGGCAGGAATAGGTAAGGTGGCAGTACTTCCCTGGACCTCTTTCACAAGGAGCTCTACTGCTACTACAGTCCAACTAATCCAACACCATATTCCCATTTTATAATATCTATAATACCCCATGTTGTTATATAGTAACGACTTTAAATTAACAATAATAAGCTAACAGTTCAATGATGATTTAATAATTTATATTGATTTGTGGTATTGCGATAATCGTCGTCGATGTGTCGTTGATAGTAAATCTTCTGTCGGGGCTTGGTCGTGGCGTTCGCGTGCATCATGAATGGTGCTAATTTCAGTTTTGCAGCTCACGTAACGCTATGACGTCTTAGTCATGTCTTATTTGCTGAACTTTGCACACCATGCATGACGTATATATGTTTAACTTATATTGATTTTTGACGTGACTATCACCAGTCAACTTTGTCGCTTACTATTAATTTGTTTTATAATGTGTTTCTGCCAATTTCTCTCCAAACGAATATTTTAAGATACTTAACTCAAATTTCTTCAAAAGTACAATTACGTCATTGTAGCACCAAATGAGCGTCTTAATTGGAGATTGATCGCACAAATAGTAAGACAAAGCTCTACAAAAATTGATTAAATACTATAGAGTAAATTTATTTTGGGTGAATTAAATAAATAATTTTGTTGCTTTATGTATACAAAGTATTTTTTAAATATTCTTATCAAGTTAACAAGTGTTAATGATGCACTTGTGTAATCGTGATAAGGTGATGAGGTTTGAGAGTGGGTAATACTGGTATGCAAATACCTTTATCTATCTTTTTAATAAACTTCAAAAACTGCAGAGGTTTTTGAGTTGTCTGTTTGTTTCTGAATGTGTGGTACCTCACTTTTTTTATGATTTTAATGATTCCTTTCATCCTTTCAGTATTATGATTATCACTATCAATTCATATAATTCACGCTAAGAATACAGGTCTCCCCTAACAAGAGGGATTATTAGTTCACTATGCCGGCGTGACACGGGTTCAAACCGAAAACCCTTCAAAACCGAATCGCAGTAATATTCAAGTTACTGTTTGGCGGCAGAAATACTGTTTCACAAGGAGCTTACTGCTACTAAAAATATGTATCACTGAAACAATTAATTTGTGCCAATCGTAACTTAACTCATTTATGACACCTAATAATTGGTTAATTTTATTTATTTAATAATTTAATTACAATGTACTACATTATGTACCTAATTTTATTCATTACTAATCAATATTGATTCATGATGCTTTACACTATTTGTATATTTATTAATAGTTATACACATGTAAGAAGGAAGTTTCCATGTGTTCGTAAATCATTGCGATGTCGTCTAACAATTTATGTGTTCATAAACAGTTGTGTAAAAAAAATAATGGCGCCACTTTGGCCGATAACAGAGCCAAGAAATAAAATAGCAATGCATAACAAATGTACAGCTCTGATGATGATGTAGATATGAGAGACGTTATGATAGTTATTTAGATTAAAACGAACAGCTGTGGTCATGTAAATGATATACAGAAGTCTTTGAAAAACTAAAAACTCAGATAATTTAATATCTCGGCTTTCCGATGCGATTTAAAATCGGACTAGACAGAAGTTGCATATTTTTTTCGAATTCATATTACTGAATCGGTCAGCAGTGAGAAGAGGTTGTTTACTTAACTAACACTGTTACTATAGTAATATAT